TTGACATCTGTTAACCTATTCTATAAACTCTTCCAATTAGGTGATTAGCAAGTGAATTATTGAGGAAAAAAAGGAAAACCTTTAGATCACTTTGAGGCATTCAAATTCAGTTAAAAGGAATGGATCTCACCCTGAAACTATCATCTGTTGAGTTTGGGAAATTTCACACAGAACTAGTAACTCCTGATCACCAGCTCCATAACAAATCCACAAAGTAGCTATTATTTCTAATTCACAAAAGAGGAAACTAACGCTCAGAGAAGATAAGAGTTAGCTTTCCCAGGGACTCACACTTAGTAAGGGGCTCAGCAGAGGATGACTCAAACCTAAATTTGTCGGACTCCAAAACTTTTGTTCTTTCAACTCTGCCATGTTGTTTCTAAATGATTAGGGACAAGGCAAAGGAAGTCAACAGAGCGCCATTAAAGTCCAATTTCAGATTATAGTACCTATTTTCAACAACTGTGAAAATGTTAAACAATTAGAATGTATTTTATATGATTTTATAATTATAATGAATCTGTTTCTATGACTCTGTTAGCTCAAATTAAGCTCCAAATTTAAAAACTTTAATTAAACTACCTAAATTCGTCAAATACCATCCCTTACGAACACATGTTGTACATTTTTCACTGTCTACATGTTAGTTACACTCATACTTTCTCAGGATATTTTTTCAGGGTTTTTACATGTCAGAAAACTCATTTTATTTAATATCAACAGAAGCTAAATATGTATTTATATGTTTTCATTTTTCCCTCAACATGTACTAAGATAATCTCCTTCCCCAAAATAATAATTTATGCTTTTCTGTCACTTGAATCTAAACTTCCCCATTCATTTTTTCCTCTTCACTGGTCTGTTTCTTGAACAACTCCATAGCTCAGTCGCTTTCCTCTCTTTATTTGCCACTCTTCCAATCCTGTTACTTTTTTTTCCCTGCCATTCTGCTCTCTAAAGCTTCTGAGGTCTTCAAAGCCACTTGCAATGTTCCCTGTCAAGAAACCTAGAGAAGCCTTGTCCTTATATGACTCTAGCGGCATATCTTCACTGACAGGGTGACACCTGCAAACCCAAAATCGATGTCACATTGATAGGGTAACTAAGCAACTGTCAATAATAGGAATATAATCCAAATCAATGAGTTGCTAAGTTCACCTTTGACATGAAATCCCCCGCTGTTTCTTAATATGTATTCCGAAGTATTAAATTATTTTAAAATAAAGAATGTAACAAATGATTTATACATCTTCAATCAGGTCTTAAGGTCTTGAAGTATTTGTTTGGTTTTGTTTTGGAGACAGAGTCTTACTGTCACCCAGGCTCTGGAGTGTGGCGGCGTGATCTCAGCTCATTGAGACTTCCGCCTCCTGGGTTCTCATGTCTGAACCTCCAAAGTAGCTGGAGTCACCATGCCCAGCTAATTGGAGGGTCACTTTTATTATTTTGGCTGTACACCAGAGATTCACAGTGAACAAAACTACCCAAAGTTGATGATAAATAAAGCTTCCCCTAGATTTCTCTGAGACACTTGAAGTTCTTATGTCTTCCCTTAATATAGTTTCTTTAAAATAAAGATAATGATTAAAGAGGTCCCATGAAGTCAAAGACTAGACAGTTTTTGCTCAGCGTTTGCCTTTCAAATGCTCTGCACAATCCCTGCCACATAGACCGTAAAATATTTTTAAATAATTAGGTGGATTAAATAGTATTTTGGTGCTCCTATTTTGAAAAGTAAACTACTTTCCTCAAAAGTTTTAAAACCTGTAATAAATGCCATGTTTTCCCTTCATATGCCAATATCACAGTCTATCCACAGCCTGGGAACTCCAGACATTTAAAGTAATGTGCCCAGAGATATGCAAGTTTCTCAAGGCAAATGAGAATCAGGTACCTGAATTCTGGAAGTCTTTTTCAATTTCACCAATGCAACTTACTTTCATTATTAAACAGTCGTATAAATTATTATAATCTTTACACTCAACATCAATGCATCTTAAAGTGACCATTAAGCATCAAAAACCTAAGTCTGGATATCCCTTGGGTCAAATAATTGGTTTAATATTTGGCAATGTTCTAGTATTTATTAAATTCATTTTCATTTTTTATTTGCAAATCATTCTGAATGAAAAAGAAATTTCAAGTGACTGAGACATTTCATGATGAGACAACTGAGTAAACAGGAGCTTCCATAGCAAGCACAGTTCCTCCTGAAGTATATGGTGCTGGCATGCAAGAAAGCTCACCAGACTCAAAACAACTAGGAATTCCCAACTAGAAGTGCTCTGGTAATGGCTCAGTTAAAAAAAAAAAAAAAATGCTCAGCTTTAATCAGAGGATAGAGAGGACATAATCCATCTTCTGAAGTGTATTCAAAGAAGTTTCAATGATATCCTGACAATGTCAAAAAATGAATCTATTGGAATTTTTTGAGGTAGTATCCTAACTAGCCAAAAAAAAAATAAAAGAAGGTAAGGAGCACACAGACATAAATCACTGCTTTGAAACATAATTTCTCTCTTTTATTTGTGTCACTAAGTCTATTGGTGATATGGTTAATCAAGGAGAATTTTTCTACACGTGTTATGATGTTGACAATGTTTGTACTATACTCACCTGTATGTTCTCAGCATCCACCTGACAGACCCTTTTCATAACGGAAAGAATTATGGTGTGGAAAGTATACACAGTTGTTGCATTTATTTGATCTTCACAATTATTTTCAAATTGCCTATTCTGAAAACCATTCTCTGGATACATTATTTTCATCCAGCAAAAAGCCAGAGTCATTTAAATTTGATTTATAAAAGTAACTGTCAGAGATTACTTCCTCCCTCTTGTTCAGGCAGAAAATACTTCAGTTCTCAGTTTCTCTTATCTACTCCTCATGTAAGTTGTTGAAAATAGTCTTAGTTTAAATTAGCATTACAGAGGCATTGCCATTACTTTTTAGAAATTTGTAAATTCTAATTCTTAGTTAAAAAAAAATCACTCCAAGGTTATATCAACAATTCTCCCCAAACTAATCACAAACTCATCATTATATTTAGCAAAATCATTTCATTAAATAAGAATCTGTTGTACTGAATAACTATCACATTGCACAAATGTTGCTTTAGGTACTGACAAAAGCCTACAGATGCTCGGGGTCACTGGACTCCTGTTATAAAGACTTATATTCAACAATTTGCCACACCAAATAATTCATAAAATTACATTGCCTGGGAAATATTGGCAGGTAAGAACAGCAAAAAGAAACCCAACCTATCCTGAGGATTGTTTTCTAGGTTATCAATAAAGAAAAAGTGGCAGAAAGATATATCAAATAGGAAAATACACAAGAAGAGCAAGATGACTTTCTCAATGTGTTCCTAATGACTAAATTAGTTCAAAATAAGTAACATAATAAGTAATTTATATATCTTAAATAAGGTCTCATAAAAGAAAAACATCATTCTCCATTAATGCAAGTGCCACAAGAATATTTGAAGAACTGCCCGGTACCAGTACTCAGTCCCCTCAGGGTCCCACTCCTTCTTCGGTCCCTCCCACCATCAACTGCAGTAGTAACCTCAAAAGAGAGACTCAACAGTAATCAAACAAGATCAATGTTCAGATTCATTCTGGAAACTCTGAATGTAAAAGTCCTAGGGGCGAGTAGGTAAAAGTGCTGTCAGGAAGAGTTAAAGCTCTTGTATCCAAGGTCAGGGTGAGGATAAAAGATGAGACTGAGGAAGATTGACACTGAGTCCTTTTCAAATTCTGTCTGCAGTAGAATGCATTCCTTCAAAACAGAGCTCACCCAGACAGGGAAAAACTGGACCAGAGGTCTGGCATTCCAGCAAGAGGTAAAAGCCAAGGGTAGCTGAAATGCCTGGGTGGGAATGAGGCAGGAGTACTCTCGAAGGATGCCTACGACCAGGGGGAGTTTGGTGCACACCTGAACCTGCTAATACAGACATCCCGAGATGAGCACAAGTTGGAGAGGTCTAGGAAGGCATTTATTCTCTCCGTAAATATTCAGGAAGAGCCTAGTATAAAGAATCCATCAAAAAATGAGAGAGAAAGCACTAGGGAATCCATTGAAGAGATGGTAAAGGATGAGGTACAGGTGCAAGAAGTATAGCGCAGTTTAAATAGCTCATGCAGGTGTGGCTTCGTACCTAGGAGACGGGTTGGTAGGTGTAGCAAACCACCACGGCACACATTTTGTGCCTATGTAACAAACCTGCACATCCTGCACATGGATCCTGGGACTTAAAATTAAATTAAAGTTTAAAAAAAGAGGAGAAGAAAACCAGACACCAGTTTTATCCAGAAAAGAATAAATGCTTAGCGGATAAGTAAAAAAGAAAAAAGAAAAAAAAATAGCTACGGGGTTGGGAGAACTCGAGAATTGAGATTCCTTCATCAGAAGGCAACTCAGAAAAGTATCTCGCAAAACGTGTCTGAAGATCTGAGGAAAAGGATGTAACACAGAATGCAGATAGCCTGTGGGATTCCGAGATGTCAAGGAAGGTCACGCTGAGACCAAGAGAGTGTGGGAAATAAGGAGAGGAAGGGTTTCCTGGAAGGGGTTGGGGCTCCTTTGGGATGCTCGAGAACAGGATGAAAGACAGGGGATCCGAACTGTAGAACACAGTGCCTGGGAAAGTTTGGGGGACAGAAAACAGGTGGGTGTGAAGCAGCACTGGGGCTGTCCAGGGGGAACAGTGGGAAAGCGGGGTTCAAGGCTGGAGGTGGGCAGACGGGCCCCCGAATCAGGAGACCCCAAAGGAGTGGAATCTTACTTCTCACCGCTCTAGCCTCCACTTCCACCCTAGCCTAGGAGAGCTGCTGCAGCCCAGAGCCGCTGGAACCCGGGGCCGGGCGGGGTGTGGGGAGGCCGGGCCGCCCCCAAGCGGTCGGGCTCTGCACTGGCTCCCGGCTCACCCGGCGCCAACTTTACGGATCCGTGTCCTCTCCCAAGAAGGCAGTCCCCCCTTCCGGCCCCTGCTCACCGAGGGCGCTGTCAGGCGGCTGATGCTCTCGCCCAGCGAGTCCAGGTTAACCCGCCTCCGGCGCTGCACCCTCCTGGCCCCGGCCGTGGCGGCGGCGGCGGCGGCAGAAGCGGCCGGGGCTGGGGCGGCGGCGGCGGCGGCCGCGCTGGGCTCGGGCGGCCCGGGCGGGCTCCGGCTGCCGTTCCAGCAGAGCCTGGACAGGGGGCACTCCCCCTCCTCCTCCGGGCTCGTCTCCAGGTAGTCGGACCCCAAGGAGCTGAAGGATTCGGACGAAATCTTCCTCCGAGACATGCTGCGGGCGGCGCTGCAACGGCCGAGGCGGCGGCGGGGACACGGGCGGCGGCGGTGGCGGGACCCGCCGGGGGCAGCGTTACGCGCGTCGGAGCCCCGGGGCGCTGTGGTCGCGCTCGGCGGGGAGGGAGCCCCCGGGGCCGCGGAGCCCCCCGAGCCAGCTGCTCATGGCGGGAACTTGGGGTGCTCCCGCACCTTGGGGCCCGGGCTCGGCGGCAGCGCCGCGCTGGGCTGGGGGCCGCCGCCGCCTCTGCTGCTGCTCAAGCGGCGCCGCTCAGCGCCCGCCTCGGCGCATCGCCGTGCACCGCGCTCCCGCTCCCGGGGAGGCTCCAAGTGTGTGACCGCGGCCGGCGGGGCGGGGAGGGCTGCGGCCCAGGCAGACGGGGAGGCAGAGGCTGGTGCCGCCTGCGCGCCTCGCTCGCCCCCTTTCCCTCACTGCTCCCGCCCCTCTCCTCCCGCCTCTCTCCACTTGCCCGCCTCCCTCCTTCTCCCTTTATCTCCCGCCCCCCCATGCTCTCCCTCCGCCACTATCACGTGTCGCCATCATACTCATTGGGAGTCTCTGCCTCGCCTGTCGCCACGTTTCAGGAGCAACGAGGACACTTGGTCGCTGTCCTCTGCGCGCCCTCCCTGCTCCGAGGAGGTGCGCACGGCAGCTTGGTTCGGACGGAGGGACCGCAATCCCCAGACGCCTTATCCTGGGCCCTGAGGAATACACCGGCCCTGGCGGCGCTGGTGGAGAGAAGGGTTCGGGGATGGGGGGGACAGGCCTCCCCCTAGGGCCACCTCGGGGAAGCCTGACAGTGTGAAGTGCAGGTTAGGGTTCATGCTGTCCTTTCTCCGAGTTTATTTAGGAAGTTACAAGGCGAAAGGGAAAGGCCAAGCGTGCAGCCAGCCCATTCCAGAGGAGACGCTTACACGGGAAGGGAAGGACGCGGGCAACATGTTGGCGCCCAGGCTGCTGGAGCAGCTCCTGGAGACTTGCGTTCACCGCCTCTTGCGAGGCCGCGTGGGCGCAGAGCGAGCCCAGAACGGGGCGGCAGCGAGGACAGCGTCTGCTCTGGCGAGAGCGCCGTGGCTGAGCCTCAGCCTGGTGCTGTGCGCGGGGCTCGCGGCTGCGCCGGCCCCTCACTAGTGCTGGACAGCTCCGCTTGCCCCCTCCAGCCGTTTGCAGGCGTGGAGAAGTGGAGAACAGTTCCTCCTCAAACCGTCTAGCACCTGGCCCGGGGAAACCGGGGAATGATCCCACATCCATCATCCTCAGGGCTCTTTGCACCGAATATGCGATCTGTTTGCACTTGACTGCAAACGCTGCTCAGAAAGCTAAGAGGAGTCGGGATAAAGGCTTCGCGCAGCCGGAGAACTGACTCGCCACAGCGCAGGCATCTCGTCGCGCGCTTTCAGCTGTGCGGCTTCATTCCAAAGCTTCTCTTTGCAAACCAGTCCTTCCAGCGCCTGACCCCACTGTACCTTGCCTTAGTCCCAGAAAAGCCTCATACTGGTTCTGAGGATAGAATAAAGGATGGGAAGAAGGGGCAAATGACAGCATCCCCAAAGAGGGGTCCCAGGCTGTACTTCCCCCTGCAATAAAGTAGATTAAAGTAGATAAGCACCCTCCCCAGCTCCCCCCATCAGCGTAGAGAAAAGTTCAGGGTCTCTGGCTTTAGCTCCCCAGTGAATCTGAAGCCAAAGCATTTTTTCCAAAGAACGGGTCCTTTCATGTGAAGACAGATGGGTTTGTGTGGACTGTGTGTGTTTAAAAATCAAAACAAAACCATAAAACCTGTGCTGTAACCCCACCCAAATTTGCTTTTAACTCTAAATCTTCCCACGTGTTTGTGAGGGTTTAGATATAAACGCTATTTGAGGTTTCATTTGGAAAAATCCACTCAGACTGGTTCAGAGACATACCTTTTTTCCAGATGTTAAATGGGCTTTAAAGACAGAAAAGCATGTACTGTCACTCAGACACTCCCCCTTTGAATTATACATAAATGTAAATACATATACATTATATATGTGTATACATTTTTATATATGTACATTTATAATGTATATGTGTATATATATTTATAATATGTGTGTGTATATTTTCTTTCTTTAGTGGAGGAAGTTTTTTTAAAAAAATAACCGTTATAATTATTATTAAACTACATGGTGCATCTACTACTGATTTCCCCATTACTTCAATTAATTCTATATGCATTTGTCTCCACTGAAAATTAGAGTCAAATTACACTTTTAATCATAAAAAGTCATCAATTTTGCTAAAAAGTTTTACTAGCCCCTTTTTCTAACTTACAGTGAAAATTACATTATTCTAACTTGGGGATAACTGTTTAATACTTTTGCTGCGCAGTATCAATCAGCATAAAGGATTGGCATTCCTAGTTCTCTTCTTTGGTACTGATGATGTAATTGTCAAGTTCTTTAGAATCATAGAATTTAGTTAGCATTAAATATACTAAATAGCATGTATCCTTCACATTCTTTCAATAAACTACTGCTGCACACACAAATAAATGATATTATGGTAATGGCAAATAAACTTCATATTGAACCTAGAATTGAAACTTTTTACTAACCATTCCAACTCTCATCTCGAAGTCATAATTATTGAGTGCAAGGCAATGAATATCATTTGTCTCTAAAATTTATAAGAGGCCCAAGAGCCTTCCTGTTTACAGTGGAAGTTTATTGCCGGAAAGAACTCTGAACCTACGGGACATTTTTTCTTTGTGTGAACCATTTGAATCAAAGGCTCTTTACAGAATCCAGCCAGATGAAGTGGTCTTATGGTTTTCTGTATGAATTATACCCTGCCTTTGATCATTATTTTCCCACGGATTTTTAAACTATAAACAAAAGAAGGCCTAGATATAGTCAGTACAACATCTGCATTGCTTTCAAGGGTTTCCTTTGTATTTCTGTTCAGGAGCAGGGTTCAAAAGCTCTCAACATGAAGAGTGCTGTGTTTATACTAGAATTAACATTTTTTAAATGAAGCATAACTACTCTCTATTTTTTAAAAAATTTTTAAAAAGCCTTACAGCTAGCAAAAGCAATACAAATACTTTAAATAGAGAAGTCTGCTGAGAATGAATAGTTTGTGCTCTGATTTTAGGAAAAGAAACTTGCGTAAACTCATACCCTCAAATCCAGCCCTGCTAGATATATTGTGTTTCAATAAAGTCTTTAAAGCCCACTCTTTTACCAGAAAAAAAAATGCAGAAATATACTTGGTTTACTTGTGGAGTTGGCATAGGCACCTGACGACACACTCAGATTGATCAAGCATTTGGAAAGACTCCCAGAAAAACACAAACAAAAAAAAACCAGATTCTTATCTTAGTCAAGACAGTGACTATTTTACATTTAAACGTAAAGTAATTGTGCATGCCTTCCCTTCACATAAAGCAATCCTATTTATTATAAACTCTGTCACTTATGTTGCCTCATTTAACCTAATTTTCATCCTTCTCAGAGCGCTTGTTGAAGAAAAATCACCTCTGTCAAATTCAAATTAAAACTCATTCCAACATTCTTTGCATTTTCCGGGTCCAAACTCTTTACCCGTTTCTTTTCATCCATCTAATACTCCAGCAAGAAAATCTGCAAGATCTACATAAGCATTCCCTGGAGTAAAGCTCCACCCTGATGGAAGACTGAAGAATTTTTCCCTGTAGTCAATCCTTACATAAATCTGGCAATTCACAGGAATTGTACATGTAATATTGAAGAAAATTCTCTAAAGTACTATCGCAGCTGGTGAATCCTTAACTAGGGCAAGTTTTTGTGGATCCCTAAGCTAGAAAATCACACACACACACACACACACACACACACACACACACACACACACAGTCAGTCTCTCTCTCTCTCTTCACACTGTTCACCTGCTACTTTAACCCGATGTTTGTGTTTGTGAATGAGATCTATCTACTCTCTCACTTGACATGTCCTCCTCTTTTACAAGAGGGCAAATGTGCTTTCTCCAAGAAAGACCAGCAGCAAATGAGAGTAAAGATACTGTACTTCATATTGTTGTACAATTGTATAAATAAAACTATTAAGGATAATATCAAGGTGAGAAGAAACATCTGCTGTGTTCACAAAGGAACACATAGATGACAATGTAATCCATTGTCCTTTAATTATATTTTGTCATAAAACCACCCCAAAGGGGTAGGATACTTGCTGCTCAAAAAAGGATAGAGGAGGAGAGGGCTGGGGGAAAGGGGAAAGAAACAAAGAAAAGACAAAAAGTCTACTGCTACACTTAGTAGAATTTGACCCAGAAAGATTCTTAAGGGTGGAATAACTGCCTTGTTTCGATGCGTCTAATCCATGACAGTGAGAAAGAGGCAAGTGATCAGTGTATATTGGTGCCTGTGACACACACTACTCTCTTAAGTGGCTTTACACTCAACTGTGCACCACAGAAATCCATCCTCCTCTAAGAAGAGACCCTATTAGTCAACATCTGGAATACTAATATCAGCACCACAGTCTCCTACAACTCTCAGCCTTATTGTCTGCATACTCAACAATCCTAGCTCCCTATATACTTTATTTAAATTTGTATTCTTAATCCCAACATAATAGGACCGTGTTCCTATTATAAAACTATGGAAATTCTAGCAAAGAGATTTAAAGTATCTTCCAATGTCATGGAGCTGGTAAACATTAAAGTCAAAATTGCAATCCTGACTACTAACCCCATGCTATTTCCACTGAAACACTTTTCCTGCCTGTCTCTTGTCCTCAAGTGTCCTAAAAACAGAGAAAAACATGCTGAATTAAAAATCACAACATGAGTGGATTCTTACATTAAAAATAAATATTAAATACACAATTAACTTGTTTGAATTTGTCCCGGAACATAACGTGAAAAAGCACTGATGTGCAGAAATTCTAAATTCTAGTAGTTTCTCTGCTGATAACTAGTTCTGTGACCAAAATCAAGTTGTTATCTGCTCTGGGACTCAAACCTTCACCTCTAAATCAAAAGCGTTGGATAAAATCCTTACGTTATCATCAATCTTCAAAATTTTATAATTTTTCTGTTTAACAATTCATTTCCTTTCCAAATATATGTTACACCTAAAAAATGTACCCACATACATCATCATAAGGTTAGATTCTCTTTTTCTTCCCTATCATATCTGTTCTGAGAATTCAATTCCTCTACAAATCCCTTCTTAAACCACCCAAGATCCTCTCCTGATACAAAACTGTCACGGACATGGTCCATGGAATTAAATGAATTTAAAAAAGAAAATTTCCAACTGAATCCTATTTGGTTACTTGCTCACTATCTCTCTGTCTTTTCATAACTTAATTCTTCTGTCTGCTTTATTGTATTATGTAAAGGACTCATATCTTCCTGTCTGTAGCGTATTAAGC